AAAATATTATTAATAAATAAGTATAAAAATAATTTTTATTAAAAATATTTAAATAATTTTATTATTTAAACTATAAATATAATAAAAACATAATCTGCACTAAAAAACGTTTCTTATTGACTAAAACCATTAACTTGAAAAGAAAATTGTTGGCTCTTTGGTTTTAAGTAAAAATCCTTTCCTCCAAAATAGAAAATGAGAAGAAACATGATGTAGACATTTTTGCCAATTCTGGTGTGGCACTGGTTGTGTGTAATAAGTTCGAGGTACCTTGTACCTATTCAATAATATTTTTTTTGTCGATGTAAAAAAATGTTGTAAACATTATTAACTAACAAAATTTTAGTTAAATTAGCACTCAATAAACAAAAAATTTTAATTTAAGGTCAATAATAAAGTTTATAATACAATATAATTAACTCTTAACATATAAAAAAATAATATAAACTCTATAATAAAATATATCTATATAGTAAGTGATATAATGAGTCAATAAAATTTTAAATAAGTTTTATGTGAATAAGATTGTATATTAACTATTACACGAAACAAGTTTTATAAATTTTATAGTTTTAATTTTTAAATGTCATAATTGGTATTATAAAAGTGACAACTCATAAAATTTTTGTGTGCATATTAATAAGGTACATTTTTTTTATTATTTTAATAGCACATTTTCCCATTTATTTATAACTATAGAATTTGGTATGTAATTATGTTTGTTACTATTGTTTTTTTTTGAGTTAATGCACACTAATTTAAAATTTTTAATTTGGGGTCAAGATTAGAATTTAATCCTCTCAAATATTAAGTACTTAACTTCTACTAATATACCAAAATAATATATCACTCTTATGGATGTGTTAACCTATAATTAATTTGTTTTACAAACTCATTACCATTATATTAATGATATTCTCTTTTAACAATGGATTTACCTAAACATTAAAATAAAATACTTGTTTAACTTTAGTTGGCCTTTTTTTTTTTTGGCAACAGCAATCTAATAATTTTAAAAAAATTTATATTTATCCCCAATTAGCCACTACTTAAATAAGCATTCTTGTTCTAACATATGTTATAATTGTTTTCTCAAAATAAAGGTAAAGTAAAAATAAACACTTCAAGAAAAAAAAGTAAAAATAAACGTATTTAATCACCTTTTTAAAGTAAAAGTGAACAATTAATTTTAAATACTCAAAATAAAAATTAAGTAAACTAAAACTAAATAGAGATGCTACTTAAATTGAGAATGAGGTCTGATTGTGACTTAAATGTTTCTGCAGAGGAGTGTTTCATTTTGGTACAGCTGCTGAGGAAATTTATCCACCAGAAATAGAAAGCTGCTGGGAATTTGATTGGTGGATAAAAACTCTAGAAAAATATAATTTTAAAACAGGGTTTCTCAATATGATTTTAATGTTATGCTTTTATTAGTAGCGGCGGGTCGGGGTCGGTTTTGCTATGTAAAGGTGGATAGGTCTTGGGTTTGTTTTTTTTTTTTTTTAATTGATCTTTTGATATCTGACAATCCCATTAAATCATGAAATTAGACTTCATTAAAAAAAAAACTCTCCCAATACTTAAAATTGAAACATTATCTTATGAAAACCAAACCCCTTCCGAACCAATAGATTGTTAGGGGCTTTTTCTCATCAAGCAGTCTGCGTTCTGGGCTCTCAATTTGGAGCGTGGTGGAACCACTAGTTGAACGTTGACTTTGAGATCAACAACCTCTATTTTCTTTTCTTCTTTTAGAAAAATCTAGATCTAGTAACTCAAATTATTCTTTTACTAGAGGTATTAATTTTTTTTAATTTTAATTATGTAATTAATGAGAATAAGAAGACGAAAATTAATAGTCTTATTCACGGCAGAAAATTGCAATTGAATTGAAAAATATTTTAGAAAATAGCTTATCATTCAAATCTCTAAAGAATTATATTTTAAAAAAATTTAAAACTAAGTTGTTTCATTCAATTTCAAATTAAAAAAAAAAACAAATAATTTATTATCACAACAAAAACAAAACTATTTTAATCTTTTATAATTGTGCTTAATATCATGATCTCAATTGGAGTGGGGTTATTTTTATTTCTAAAAGATGATAAGCTAAGAGAATCAATTAAACAATTAAGAAAAATTAGTTAATTATTAGAGGTTTAGGTGAGATTGAAAAATGGAAAACAAAATAAATAGATAATAAATTAAAATTTTTAAAATTTTCAAATGGATAAACAGATCAAACTCATTAACCCAGTCAATCAATCCATTATTGACCCATGACCCATTAGTTCTCTTAACGAGCCATTAACGAGTCATAAATCATAAATATCTTACCCTAACTCATTTTAAACAGATAGATTAACAAGTTGGGTAAAAAATTAACAGGTCTATCCCAACATCTTCATCATAATTTTTCATAGTATTCTTACACTATATATTATAGTTACATTTAGGTTATATACAATTAAAAAAGAAAAAATTTATGAGAAAATAGTGGACTAAGCAACCACATACACCGATCATACAACATTATTTGAGATAACACAATAATTTCAACTATAAAGTAAATTCAGACGATTGATGTTAATGGTTTTACAACAATCGGATGAACAATTCCATCACAATTCTGTCACAACCTCTAAGCAAGGTTTATTTTGGGTGCAATCTTTACTGCTTTCCTTTGTTGTGCCATAGCTCGACAACTACACTAAAATCCATATCAAAAGAGAGTTAGTTTAATTTTTTTTCATTTCTAAGTGTTTCCCAATCTTAATTGCACCATATTGATAAATAAGAGAGATTAGACAAAGGGGTCTTCATTGTAAGGTAACCCCATCTTCTAATGGCTTAGTTTTTGCAATCTAGTGTCATTTTGGACTACAAAACAATAGGGCCTTTTTAGGTGAGAAAAAAAAAAAACTCCTACCCAGATTCGAAAATGAAAGGCTCACTTTTTTGCATAACTTTGCATTTTTTTCTAACAAAATTCTCTCCTGAATTAAAACTAAAAATGTAATATGAGAGAAAAACAAGGTACATTTTTTAGAAGCTTAGAGCTAGAAGATTGAGAAAGCAATATTTGTTTAATTCAATGGAGGGGCTTATTCTTACCTTTGGTTTTAATTGTTGTATCTACTTGCAATGGTGGAACCAAAGAGAGATGGAAAGTAGGGCCTTTTTCTTTTCAATCCTACCTCTAAACTTTTTTCTTGTCTGTACAATGAGATTTAGGTAAAGACATTTGACATGTTTTCTCCTACAACCTTAATCTATGCCTCTTTATTTCTAATTTTTTTTTAACTTGGGGTAAAGCTTATACCTAACCCCCTCCTCATGCAGTTCCGCTAGTGTCTACTCATACAACTGGGCCTATAATATCGAACATAACATGTTTAGTCTATGTACTCTCATACAAATAAAAACAATTTACAAGAAATGCCTAAGAATTGTATGTAGGTAAATGCATGGCACAATGAAGAATCTAGTTGATGATATGAGGAACAACAAGCCCAAGTCCCTTGCATGTAGATAGAGACTCCAGTCCCATATCACGGAGGAGATTTTGGACCACTGTCTATGAGTGTAACCTAAGGAGAAGGCGAGTCTAAGGAAATGTGACAGTTGTATGTGTATAAAGGATCCAATAATGGTGCAAATACTCTCTATAAATATGCCAAAAAGCTCATTTGATAGTAACTCAAATGCTAATGTACTTTGGAAAGCAAAAGTCTTGTAATCATGTATTAATTCATTACTGTAGTTACTTTTAGCCTAAATACAAATCTAAAGATTGCAAACCTTTCTTGCCAGATTTTTTTCAAGCCTTGTTCTAGCTGGCTATCAATCTCTTGAAGTTCCTCAATAGAACATGAGCCCAATCCTTGACGCAACAGCTCCCTGCATTATATCAAAATTTCAAACTTTAGAATCCTTTCACCTAGATGAGATGAAGTAACATGACATAAGCATTAAATCATTGAAACTTTTAAAAACTTCCAGGAACTCAATCTTCTTAATCATGTTCGCTTTTTCGATCCTCAAGTGCTGCACTTAGAAATTTTTTTGAGGAAACCGAAAGTTTTGTTACCAGCTGTAGGCTAGTAATTTATTACAACTTAGGAAGGGAGCTGTTTGATGAGAGCAATGAATATGTAATGTAGAGAATATATAGAGAAATCCAATCATATGTATGAAAAAATTAAGCCACAAAAACTAGTTAAAACAGAAGATTGCATGGAGACTAGAGTAAGCACTTGTCTGAGCTTTGAAACTCCTCACTTCCTAAATCATGGATTTAGAGTCCAAACGGCAACCCAGGACTGAAAAGATATTTAGCGGGAAGGAGGCTGATAAGGGAAGGCTATTGGAATTAGTCCAGCTAAGGGCGTTCAATTGGATTAAATGCAAAAGGGTAGGCTGTTTCTTCTCCCTATCAGATTGGATCCATAACCCAGCAGGATGCCTAAGTTTAACTGTGGCAGAAAGAGGAAGGCTACGGGACCTGCAATTGACATGTAGAACTTCCCTACTGAAGGTAAATGTAATTTTGGGTGGGATCATGTATTGAACTAAACTTGATTCCTTGTAATGGGTTTGGGGTACCTCTTATACTACTTAAATAAATAATATAATTTCTTTGTTTTTCAAAAAAAAAAGTCCCAGTGGCAACCAAGTTAAATTTTATTCTAATCAACTAAAAATTAGGTATACCTTTCCTTTCCAAATAGAATTTTATTATATAAAATATCATCTATGCTTAACTCAGATTGAGTAAGGATCCCCCACTCAAACACCAAACCTTACGATTTGCTTTCTTAACTTTAATTGTTTCTGTTTTCTATGAAAAGCAATAATTTTTTAACTGCCCATTTTTCGGAGAAAAAATTTACGGAAAATTAATCTGTACAATGAAAGATAGAGGTCTAACCAGCATGTGTTGTTTCATTTCCGGCTTGTGAGTTGGAATTTCTTTTGCATACATGGTATCGTTCGATGGTCTTCTGGATGCTGAAGCATTTCACAAAAAAATGTGTCGTCAATCCATGTTACAAGTTGCTCAAGAAGGAATGAATAAAGCTGAAGGCAAAGCAGATATATCCTATCATCAAATAGCAAACAATTTCATTAATTAGCAAGTGCGCAAGCACTCAAAACTACGTAAGTTCCAGACCATCCCTAGTTACTCGAGCAGAATCACAACACTACATACTTTCTTTCAATGAATCGAAAATATCATTACTAGGATTAGAAGGGGTACTGCACCCTTGAACTCACAACCACAAGCCGT